TAAATGTCATTTTCTAAGGCTTAGCGCTCAAGGCTACTAAGGTGTTCGCATGTATATCTGCATTTTCCAGACATTCAATTATTCTTTATAACCTAATATGTTTATGGGTTCAAAAAGAGGAAGGAGAATACATTCTTGCAAGTGGAGGATGATAGCAAAGAAGAAGAAACTTCTAGTGACAAGGATGATGATGTTACTGATTTCTTTCAAGATCATATAGTATGATGATATAAGAAATTTCCTGGTTGTCTCTACTAATAGTAATCACTTTGATACGTGATTACTAATTTGAGAACTTAGTTTTTTTTATTTGTATGGAGCTACTTTATGTTCCTTTGCAACTTAAACTTTTAATTTTGGTATTAGTTTTATTATGGATTTCAATGAGCATAATTTTGTATTTTGTTATTCTTTTGAATTATTTATTATGGATCTATTTTATGTTCCTTTGCAACTTAAACTTTTAATTTTGGTAATTAGTTTTATTATGGATTTCAATGGGCATAATTTTATATTTTGTTATTCTTTTGAATTATTTATTATTCTGGCTTGAGGTAAAGCACCCCCTCACAGAGGTATAAAGCCTTGTCACCCACTATAACCTTTTTAAACATTGTGTCTAGTATTGCATTCCGAGGGAAATGCTTGTCGGGACAATTGAGGCACTTTGGATGCTTCAACTTTGGTTGATTTCTTTTGCTTTATCACCAACATCAATCAATATGCAGTTGTTTGCTAGTTTCAGTTGTAATACATACTCGCATGGTAAAGTTGAATCCTACTGTCCAAAAACGGGGGAGGGGGAGGAGTGGAAAATGTGAAATATAAGTGGATTATTTCTTGTTCAGACTGTTGGATCCTGGACTGAGGGAATCAGGGGCAGAACTTGAAGAATACGTCTATAGAAGGATTTTGCCCCTTTTAGGCGACGCATCTTTTAAGACTTAAAACCCATTCTGGACTTTCAAGAAAAGATGAAAAAATAGCTGAATTGTGTGGATCTCTAAATATGGTTTATTAATAGACTATTTTGGTACAAGTTGCAAACAAGTACATGCAGAAACTCCAAAGCTGTGATGCTGCGTTAATCATATAGTGAAACAAATGCTTTCTTTTGGATGATTTTTGTGTGATGATCTGTATATAACTATGATTTTGATGAAATAGACTCCCTCGTTTCTCGAGTTCCCGCTGGACCTCATTTACTAATGAGGTAAACTTTAGTGTGTCATTCTTAACTGAAGTTCCGAGAAGGCTCTGGAATTTCTTTTGTTGCTAGAAGAGAACAATTAATGGCATGTTTCGTACTGTGCTACGTACTACTGCAAACCAAACATGCACTAAGTGTTTTGATTGTGATATTTGACTGTATTCTCTCCTCGTTGTTTAGAAAATATCTGGTATTTGAGCTGCTGGCATTTATATACTAGTTGAAATTATTAGTTCAATATAAAATTGACATCTTGCAAATAATTGACCCTTGTAGTTGTATCTCATGTCTTCAGTGATTTCTTGTACAGAAATGTCTAGCTGCCTGTTCGAAGTACATGATCAAGTGTCTGGCGCTGTATTGAATTGTGCCTTTCGTCGTTGAAGACTTGTATTTTGACTTGTGAGGCTGATGATGCCAGAATTCCAGGCACATTTCTTTGTCCTCTTAATTATAAAGAATTGAATATCGAATGTATGTTCAGGATAAAATGTTTGCTTCACTCTGCCATTGCTTTCAGTTCTGTCAGCAATTCTGCGTTCTTATTTATAATGGAGCTAGTTTGGTTGATTTGTAAATTCTATGCGTTGAATGCAAAATCTACTTTTACTCGTCTTCTGTTATTACCTTTGTCGTTCTACCCCCACGCACCCTGGCATACACCAAAATATCATCCCCTTATTTCTGAGGGAAAATGTGGCTACAATTTATTGAGCATTGTTTAAGATGTTTCTGTGATCAAGTGAGATTATGCCACCGAGAACATGATCGGTACCATGTGGGTGACTTTTTTATTCAATACGAGGCTGTATATCTGAGGCTCGGTCTGCTTTCTCATTTCTGCTGTCCCTTAGCCTTATGTTTGTACGATGTATCTAGTGTTAATGCTAAGTTGCCAACTGTCCGTCGTACAAGAGAGGACTTGAATGAAGACCATTTTGGGTCGATATTGTTTCTTCTACTACATTCGAGCCCTTTATTTTTCAAATGTACTAGGTTTTGCAAGTAGCGACCGATTTAGGTTAACATAGTTGAGCAAGTACTCCCCAATAACCACGGGAAGAGCAATTTTTTTCTATTCTTGAATATCTACATATAAATAAATTTCCCATTTCTCTACTGGCTTAAATTTTGAGAATTTTGAGAGGAGAACTTTTCAGCACAAGTTATAAACGAATGTACTTGTTTTCTCGCGAGTACACTTACTGTACAAGATCGCACAAGGAAATGAAAATTGAAGTCACATTTTGAACATGTAAAACACACTAAAACAACGCACAAATGTTACATGGAAGACGTACAGCAATGAGACAATTGCCAAGTGGGAGCAGCTTAACCTCCGATACACCCACAAACCTTCGTAGGAGCATGCCCGGTTGCACGGAATTTTGCAGACATCTCATCTGCTTTGAGAATTTCTTCGCCTCGTCTAGCTTCAACCATAGCTCTCTTCTCTTCTGCTTGCTTGTGAATGAGAGCTAACTTATTTTTCATTCTTTCAGCATGATCCGCTTTCTCCTTCTCCAATTGTTCCTGCGATTTAATCCACACGTAAAACCATTACAACATGTTTGATATGTAGTAGTAGACATGGGAGAATGTACAAGATTTCAACTTATTTTTCTTCCTAGGTCGAGTTAGGTGAAGTACAGACCAAATACTAAGCACGCCAATAACTATTCTAAAGAAAGAAACTTCATAATGTGACTTCCATGACTAAAGATCAAAGACCGCAAGCATTTTTGTTGTGAAATATTTTGCTAATAATCAGCATATGCCATTTTTATTTTTTGAAGGTCCACGTGCGTTTCAATTACCTCAATCTGCTTTAGTTTGGCTTCAAGAGCTGCTTTTTTGCTGTTTTCCCATGATGAAACCTCAGAAAGCTTTTTGTGTGCCCTGTTCCATCATACAAACAAAATAACCGGTGTCTAGCAGTTTCTTTCAGCGGAAGGTTCAAACAAATAAACTAAATATAAAGCCGAAACATTCCCTTCCGTTTCAGTAAAAATCAGCTTTTCTTTCCATTGAAAGAGTCTTGATCTCAAACAACAGAAACTACAGCAGAACATTCAAATATTGTGTTCAGTCCTTCCGTTTCAATCTGATGCACAATGCAATAGGTATCTGAACCTTCCGTGTAAGGCTCGAACTTAAAAACCAAAATTGAAGCCCTTTCGGATAAAATTAGAAATTGAAGTACGTCAGACATTTTGGTGCAAGAATATCAGATTCGACAATGTTGACCAATTTGGGATGGAAATATCTCTATCTCACAGCTCAAACTTCACATAAACTTTTTGGTAGGATTCTCTAATGTACTAAAGTTAGAAGGATATGAACATAAGAAGAACTTGTAGAGGAAGCCAAGGAGGTAAACTTTGGATAAGTTCTTCCTCCAGTTGTCGAATTCGATAAAAGAGACACTTAAAACAGAACCAAACTCAAGAAACTAAAGACGATTTATTATTGGATGTCAATGTACATAAAAGCATCGAAATCCCTTAGCAGGATTTTTACATAAGTGAGGTTGGTTTCTTCCAGGTTCTTGAATATGCAATCCTAGAGTACAGAAATAACTAAACGTAGTCTGGAGAAGACTTACCAGTTCTCCACTTTGCTCTTCTCACTTTCCTCCCATGCCTCGATAAACGACAATCTCTTTTCATCTTCTATCTTAGCAAGAGCAATATCTGGAAATACAGACAGTTATTCACCTTGAAAGGACAATATTTACAAATAGTCATTTAGCGAAATAGACATATAACTGAGTCACTTGCATTTCACAAGACATCATCATACTTGGCAATTGAAAATCTATCAATTTGCAAGGTCTGTTCTAATGAAATTCTACCATGTAAACTTTATTAACTTATGATACAATCAATGCATGTTGACGTAGACACGGAAATATAATTGACATCTTAATCTACCTTATACATGTTAAAGACTAAATTTGAATAAACAGATGTGTTTCCTCCCTAACAACTTGAACTTTTAGATGAGGTGGTTAGATATAGTATTAGAGTGAAAATATCTTAAGTTCAAATCTCATTGTCACCTATTTATATTAATTTTACACGCAACAGGCATTTAATAATACATGACTCCAGCCTGGATACGAAGGCCGAATGGTGTGTTGAAGACTAACTTACACTTTCAGATGAAGGCATCCACCACATGGCAATCAAATCATTGACGTTCTAGGTCTGAATTTCTAATGAAATTCTACCATGTTCCCTTTATTAACTTCTGATACAACCAATTCATGTAGCCACAATCCCATAGGCAGAGAGAGAATTAAAATCTTAATAAGCAGGCTACTCAAATTCTTTGAGCTTTCAGAGATTATCATATTGTAGTAATTGAAATGAGAAGAATTATGAATATCTTACCTCTGTCAAGGGATCCTTTTGAGCTTTTCTTCGGTAAAGGTTCTAGAGCCTCTGTTTTCAAAGAAGCAAACAAATGAAGTTTTATCAACAGTTTCCATATTTCATCGACAAAATCTCTCAAGTAAGACAAGTAGTGAAGTCGAAATAAGCCTCGAAGAAAGCCTAATATGATGTTAATCATAAATGGAACTATAACACTAAGAAATACCCCAAAAGGATTCATAAAAATCATCTTTTGCCAATTGAGGCATCGGATAGATACAGCTGAAAAGCGCATAGGCAGCCCTCTACAATCTATCCCATTGAATTCCATTGTCTCATATTATACTGTATAGTATCTGTCCAAATAGATACATTGAGTGCGAGAACGGATAAAACTTTAATATTTTTTTCATTTATATTGATAGATAACCGCATTCATTCGTAGATTCTCGGATTGCTTTACGTGTATCAAAAGGTGATTCAATGTACCTATTTGTAGATAGTATTTAATCAAGATAATTTAAACTATTTCTTGATTACAATTCGACATTTGTGTCATAATTGATGAATGGATATTATTAAGGTTAGGAAAGAACTCTAATGGGATGAACATGATAAAATATTCTTTCCAGATCAATGGATCTATAATTATGAAAGATAAAACCTATGAGTCCACAAGAATCTCATCGAATTGATTTTGTTAACTCAGTAGATCTAATCAGTGGACCTATAATTATGTACGATGTTTTTTATATAAAAGAAAAACCAATACCACAAGTTTCCCCTAAGGAAAAAACAAAAAGAAAATGGATACTGATAATTGACCATAACTCCAAATAAATGCTAGCTGACAAGCTCAACTTTAGCAGTCACCTCATAATATGGCACATGTCAAGTTCCCTGCAGAACTGACCCTATCCTTACACAAAGTTAAAAACATTTGGAGGCAGTGGGGGCAGGCAAGCCAAGTGGAAGCAGGGTCTTTGGCCCCAATGAAATTTGAAATTAAATGAATTAAAATTATTTTAGTTTTTATTTTTAATATTATTATATTTATGTCTAAAAAAAATTCCGTAGTTAAATTAAGATTCGAGTTCTAGTTCGCTATTGATTGGAGTGGACCCACCCCACTATATTATCAAGACCAGATACTTCCTAGCTATAATTGAAAAGATGATAATATGTGCTTTAAACATACTCTAATTATTTGTTTTCTTTCCTAAGCAACTAAGATTTAAATTAAGTTAATTTTAATTGAAGTTCGTAACAAATCCTGGAACGATGTCAAATTCTTCATCCAAGTTTTATTATACATATTTTGGTAAAAAGTTTCTGAATTTTATGCAAAAACCAAAAAAAAATGTAAACTCTTTTATGAGTTTTCAAATAATTTTGATTTCAAATTGAAAACGATATAACTAAGGGGATGGAAATAATTACTTTCGGGGACGGCAGCAGCTTTGGAATCGTGGACTTTCTCGTGAGGCACAGGAATGACAGATTTATCCTCCAACACATCGGTTGGCTTCTCTATCGCCGCCGACGAAAGTAGTGGCTCCGCCGCCACTGGTTTCGCAGTAACAACTTCCTCCGGTGCTGCTGCAGTTGCCATTTATATACTCTCTAAAAATAGGTATTTGACAGTCTATGATCAATCAAAAGCACTGGTTATATTTATCAGTGGACAGTGGGCTCAACGAACAAACAGATAAAAGGCTAATCGATTCAAACTCGTAAGTATGCATGGGGTGAATGATCCTGTGTACCACATCACTGGGGTATATAATGAGGATGCATTGTTTTGACCGTCAATCTTTAATTAATCAATGAAACTCGATGAAAGGAATA